GGCGGGGCCTTTCTCCACCAACCCTCCCTCCACCAGCACCCCCACCCCCGGATCTGGTGCCTGCGGCGGCGGTGGCCTCCTCTGGCGATGCGGGCGTCCCCTCCCCCGATGGCTCCGGCTTGCTGGCCGCGCTGGTGCCCACCCCCTGCCCCGCGGGCCGCGACTTCCTGCGGCTGCTCTGTCCGGCCCCAGATCCAATATGGGGATCCACTCCGGCTGGCTGTGGTGCTCTCCGGCCGGGCGCACTCTGCCAACTGCGTACCCCCTCCTCCGACCCCCTCCCTTCGAGCTCCGGGCCGGCCTCCTCGTGAGGCAGTCTTGGAGGCGGCTGGCTGCGCCGGCGGTGCCGGTTTTTTGCTGCGCTTCGTCCAGATTTTGGCTGTGCGCAAGTCCCCCTCGTCTTCCACCCGGCAAGAGCGGCTTCAGCCCGGTGGCCATGGACCTGCGCCTCCTCCTGTGCTCCTGGCAACCGGCGCGGCTTCGGACCCGGCGTGCCCTAGGAGCTGCGCTTTCCGACTCCCTTGGCTCGCTGGCTCCTCGGCGTCTCCGCTTCACCACCACCCTGTCGGTACCTGGTTGGTCGTCCATCCCGGTGCATCTTCGCCTCCGGTTTGCTTCAGGAGCTGCGTCCCCTTCCGGCTCCTTTGGCACGCTGGTGTCCCTGCTGCTTTGGTCCCGGCGGCCTGTATCTGCGCTCCCTTCCAGATCATGGCTCGTCCGGGGCTCCGGCCACCGTCGCATCCCCGCCACCTTTCACTCCGCTCAGCCTCGCAGCCTTGTCCTCCTCCGAAGCTCGCGCGTCCAGCGGCGCCCGGTGCCTCCTTCGCCGTCGGGTGCGGCTCCCCCTCCTGCGGTCGCTGCTCTGGCGTACGCCTGACTGCCTCATTTCCGATATGTGCTCCGACGGCTTGGGATTGCTCGGAATTTGGCCAGGGCGAAATCCCTGCAGGTTATGCTGGCAGCGACGACATCCGTGGATGTCGTGCCCTTCTTGAAGGCGCTGCCATGGCCATCTTCTGCGCCCCTCTTCGAGCTTCAGGGGAAACTCTAGGTCCGTTTTTCCGGACCGGACGACGACAGCGTCTCGGTGTGGTTCTCCTTCGTGAAGGCGTTGTCTTGTTTTGCTCGGTGCGTCCTCGGTGCTAGTTTTGGAGAATTGGTAGTATGGTTATTAGCTGGATAGCTTCTCTAGTCGAAGAGTTTTGCTGTGTTCTTCTTTGTTTGGGTCGAGCATCTCTTGTCTTTACTCATCGGGCACCCATGTTCACGCCCATTGCGTTCGTGTCATGTGTTGTACCACATCATGTACTTATTCTATCTTCTTCTATCAATTAAATGATACGCAATCTTTGCGTGTTCACCAAATTTTTTTTTACTATTTCTATAATACCATATTGAGTGATCATTGATCCATCTTCAACATCGGAAAAGGTAAATTTGGTATTGTTCTTCTCAATTTTTCACTCACATTTGCTCGGGCCTTGTGATGGATAGCCCAAGCACGTCAAACCCGCCCTTCGACGACAACGAAGGCGCCGACAACTTCGTCACCAAAACTCACCACTTTGCTCTACTACAACGAGCCATGCATCAAGCAAATGAAGCCTTGAGTGATCGCATTGATTAATTCGCAACCGACTTGCGCCAATCCGAAGCAAGAAATCGGGACTATCTTGACGCGAAGTTGTCCACTCAAATGGAAGAGATTCGTGCAATCTTGGTCACACACACCTCTTCAACATCTTCATCATCAAGAAGGCAACATTCAAGCCACCACTCTTCAGACACCTCTTCCGATGCAAGTCTACCACGATCTCGTTCTCATCTTCGAGATGACCATCAGGCTTCACAAAACCCATTCCATGGCAATGGATTACAAGACCACCTCCGTGAGCGCGAACGACGTCGTCGACAAGAACAAGACGCCCTTGAACAAGAGCAAGAGTGACAACGTCAACGCCATAAAGAGCAAGACGACGACGTCCTACGGCAAGAACAACAACGCCATGAGGACCAAGCGCTTGAAGCACAATGAGCTCTAAGCGAATCCACTTGCGCCATGAATGAGCGCAATAAAAGAGTGCGTGAACAAGAACAAGCTCTATGACAAGAGCGACAAGATGAAGATGTTCGCAATGAGGAACGCCATGAAATGAGGCAAAGAGCAAGAATCCCTCGGCCCCGACATCAAGCTAGTCATGAGAAGCAAAGTTCAAGAGCCTCCTCCACGCCAAGAGCGACATCACCATCGCAACCATCATAATGAGGAGCAACGCTATGACAAGCTCAAGTTCACCATGCCTAAGTTCTCCGGAACCACGAACCCGGAAGACTATCTCTAATGGGCCTTAAAAGTGGACAAGATATTTTGTCTTCACAACTATGAAGAGGAAAAGATCGCAATGGCCTCCCTTGAGTTCCAAGACTATGTTCTAATTTGGTGTGAACAAGTTGTTGAGACGAGAAGGGAACAAGGCGAGCCACCGATTTCTACTTGGAATCAAATTAAGGAAATCATGAGAGCTCGCTTCGTGCCTACACACTACAACCGTGATCTCTTCAAGAAGCTCCAACTTCTCAAACAAGGCACAAAGTCAGTTGAGGACTACTACCAAGAGATGGAGATTGCCATGATACGAGCAACGTAAAGGAAGACGAGAAGCAAACAATGGCGAAACTCTTGAATGGCCTCAACCACCAAGTCAAGAAAATTGCGGATTTCCAACAATATTCCAACCTCCTCGGGCTCGTGCACCAAGCAACCAAAGCGGAGCGACAGGTGCAAGATGACTACAAGTACTCCAAGTACTCATCAAGACCTTATGGCTCCAACATTCAAGCTTCTACAACTCCGGCGCCTACAACGACTCGAGCTACACCCACTAGCAGTGGAACCTCAAGCTCCAAGCAAACCTACGACATCTTTTTGAGTTGTCCCTCTACAGGCAACTACAAGCCAAGAGCTTCATCATCTACAACTCCTCCAACGGATGCTATCGCCGAGATAAGTTTCATCTAATGTTTCACTTGCAAACGCCGTGGCCACAAGACATTCGAGTGCCCCACAAGACGCACCATGATCGCCAACGATGACGGCACCTATGACTCTATGAGCGATGATGAAATGGAAGCCTTTAGCAATGTCCACATTTCTCCCAGGTAGCTACACGCAGCAGTTAGCTTTTCTCCTCGAACAGCCGCCCGCAGCAGCAATGTCCCCTTCTTCTCCCCCGGGCAAGCAGCTCCACACAATAGTAGCTCCCAGCCTATGTTTTTAAGGCGGTAAAGCGTCATAAGGCGGAGGAGGGCCGCTCTGACGCCTAAGCGCCAAGGCGAGGCGGTAAGGCGAGGCAAGGCGACGCCTTAAACATTGCAGGAAAAGAGTCATCAATAGGTCTGCACATATTAATACTAGAAAAAGAGCAATGGCTGAGAGATGGGCCACTACTTATGCACCTCCTAGTGGCCCAAAAGCCCATCTAGCGGCCATATACACCCCCGTGACCTAATTCCACTATCTCTTCCCTTCTTTCCCACCACAGCCGCCACGAAGCCACACCCTTCTGGTCCTTCCTCCCTCCTCCAGTCCCCTCTCCTCTTCATGGCCCCACCCTTCTCCCTCACAGCAGCAAGCCCCAGGAGCCCCCAGTCCTCCCTCCTCTTCATGGTGCCGGGAGACAGCGGGGCCGTCATCTCCAAGCCCCAGGAGCAGCCAGAACTAGGGCAGCCACAGCCGTACACTTCATGTCTGTCTAAGGCGGGGTAGACGCCTTGCCATCCTGGGGCGCCTTGACGCTTAGGCGACGACTAGGCGACGCTTAGGCGACGCCTTAAAAACATAGCTCCCAGCAACAGCAGCAGCTCAAACCGCTGCCTCTCTTCCCTTCCCAATCAGCAGCAGCCAGCAGACACAGGAGCAGCACCCCTCAGTGGCAGCAGCAACGGCAGTAGCAGTGCATTCTAGCGAATTCAGCAGCAGCAGAGCCGCATCTCATCTTCCTCCTCTGTCGCGCAGCCACAGAGGTACCAGCAGGCAGCAACTGCACTTGACACCCGTACCAGCCAGCACTTTTCCTAGCTCCAGCACCGCCGTCCATGCAGCTCCCGTGCATACAGCCGCGCCCACGACTTCCCCGCTTGCAACAAATCATCACCGACAGCCAAGTCAAAAGTACAAGAAAAAACATCTCCCCATACACTACCACAATCCAAATTCTTCCTTACCCAACGCATCACCCTCCATGCCCCCACTGCCGGTGTGGTTTTCATGATCTGCACCAAGTTCCTGACAGATGTCAAGTGGGATGTGCTGATGCTCAGGTGGGCGCCTGCTGCTGCTGCTGCTCCTTCGTCTTCCCCGGCACTGGCCCAAGCTCACAGCAGTCGTCTGATCCAAGATGTGCTGCTCTTCTGGCCACCATCAGGACCAAAGCTTGAAGTGGTGAAGGGAGGAGGTTGTAGGCTGTAGCCTTCTTCAGGCCACACACTGCGCCACGAGGCATTTGCTTTAGTCAGTCCTGCTGGACAAGGCCATCTGTCATGGATCAAGTGATCACAGAAGTGCCCATCCAGCTCCCGACAGAGACAATGACAGCGGCACCCCTCTCTCTAGCTGTGCCTTTCGGTCTCATCCAACTGTGGTAGTTGGCGGGTTAAGGGTTCGGAAAGAGAAATCGTTTTCTACTGCATGTGACCGGCCACAAGGCTGAGGTTGCCCTTTGCTGAGGTCAGCCTTAAGACTTACCCTTACGCCACAATGAAGATAGCTGGCATAAAGCCCTCATGGTTGGGCTTATTTTTGCCTTGGGAGATACTCAAAGTATGACATGACCATGGTCATTAACTCATGCTCATCTAACTCTTTATGCAATTCTTGAGCATATATAGCTGTCATATGTATCATTAACAATAGTGGTACCTCTAGTAAACTTTCATAATTACCTACGGGTACAGAGTACTGTAACTATGAACTTGTGTAAATTGAGCATGAAAATTAGTACCTGTAGGCAGTAATTGGAGCATCTGAATTTGCTTCTCTGGGCATCAAATCCATTCCACGGCCCGCACTAATCATTTTCGCTGCCAGATCTATCATTTCTCCTGTTTCTGGAAGAGTTGCCCTATACTCCCTGTCACTTACTGGGGCCTGAATAAAAGATCATTGTAGAATTTCTATCAAGATACTATTAAGGTGTTAAATTAATTACAGCAAAAGCAATTATTATCAACACTTTACAAGCTAATCAGTTGCTTCTGTCCTTAGGGGTGAGAATATCATGTGCAATACTCGGGGAACAAGAATATGGACAGGAATACTCGGAGAACAAAAATCCTTCTGTGCAATACTCGGAGAACAAGAATATGGACAGGAAAATTATACCTGCAAAATTACCCCAGAAACTGCTTTGGAACATGCAAAGTTTGTCTGCATGTAATGTATAATATCCTGGCATTCATAAAAGTGTCTATGTTATCTCATACTGTAGACCATAAAATAGTGCAGTATCTACTGTAACAGCATACCTGGCAACCAGTGCTGTGACCGAGCAGTATTACTCCTTCAGAATTATCTTTATTTATCAAGTAGCCGATGAGCTGATCAAGTTCCAATGCATCCTTGCAAAAGAAAAAATACAATCAACACATAGACTAAATCAAGCAAAGAGAAGCAAAAAGGAAAAATCAATCAAACGTTAATCCAAGCAAAACTGGTTGTATCACTACTGCCATTGATTGTCCTCATGTATTCTTATCATGCTGCATTGCACTAAAAAAGTCAAAGGTAAAATCAGAAGGTTTGATGAATAATGCAGTATGTCATCAACGCAACTGTCATACAATGCTTTTAGTTCATACGCCAAAATAAAAGGCATCTTCTATTGCAAACATGACCAGGGAGCGTTCTCCCCACGATACCCGATTTCTATTTTTACAAACGTCCCACCCATGGTTCTGAACTGAAATTCATATTCAACCAAGATTCAGGAAATGGCAGGTAAGATTCAGGAAATGGCAGGTAAGTTCTCCCCACGATACCCGAGTATAAACATTTTTCGGTTTAAGAGAACAGCTCATAGGTAGGCTCTGACCACCTAGCCTTCCAAAACTATTTACAACTTTATACAGTGAATCCTGGTTGAAAGAACATGCGGTGCCCCCATGTTTGGTTTTGGTAGTTAATGACAATCTCTATGGTTGCCTTGAGTTCTATTTGAAGGATTTGTCCATAAGCTTTTCTTAAGTCCATGTGTTGGTTTCAAGGAGTTTATGTGATGACCAAAGTGTTATTCAAGGAATTGTCCAGAGATTGGTCATGTAGAAGACATGATACAAGGTTGATCAAGACCAAGTCAAAGAGTGAATCAGGTTGATGTACCGAGAGGGATCAAGTGATCCCATGGTATGGTAAGCATTGTCCATTACGCTTTGTGTACTAACCCATGGTCTACGTGAGAGTTTTTATGTGGGGTTAGGCATGTTTCCATGGGCTTGCGTCAAGAGGAGTTCTCATACAACCCATAGAGGATGACATGAAGTGGTGATCGTCATCAAGATTGTAGTGTGCAAGTTCAAGTGGAGCATCACGAAGAGATCATGCTTGAAGCTTGTCGTCCATTGTGGTGACAATGGACTTGTGAAGATGTTCCGAAGTGTGGCTCACCCATAGTGGAGTATGGGGGAGCAATCTACTAGTCTCCATCGAGCCAACGCAATCAAGAAAGGTGGTCCAACTTGAGAGAGTTAAGATCGTCATCATCTAGCTCAAGTGAACTATGTGCAAGGCAAAGGTTTGCCCGTGATAGGATTTCTATTTTACCGGTCTAATGGTGGTAGTTGGGAGACCGGGTTATAGGATCGATTGCCGTACTATCAAGGGGGGCTCTCAAGTTGGTAGCTTGATCGTATCGTTCGTAGAGAGCTCAAACCATTGCATCCTTGCATCATCTTTCTTGGTTCTTGTTTGGTGTTTCTCTTTGTGAGTTTTAGAGCTTATGGTCATCTTCATGACAAGCTTGAGTTCATCGAAAACGGAGTTCATATATGCATCGTCTATGATGTTTCAGGTGTTGGAGTTTCTGCCGGTTCTTCATTCATAGAAGTTTCACATCTCTATATCTTAGGCATACTCCCTCTACCACTTCTTACTATAACCGGTCGCTGTTGGATAGTATTTTTCGTCATCTATCCAACAAGCTTGAGTTTGCTCAATTCGGAGCTCATTTACAGAAGTTATGGCAGTTCAGGCTTTCCCGCATCCATCTGTTTTGCTTAGGCCTTTTGTTGCTCTCTAGCGGTAGTACCACCCTGGACAGCGGTAGTACCACCCTGGACAGCGGTAGTACCGCTTGCGCGGTACTTCCGCGGTTCCAGTGCCGTTGCTTAGGCCTTTTGTTGCTCTCTAGCGGTAGTACCGCCCTGGGCAGCAGTAGTACCGCTTGCGCGGTACTTCCGCGGTTCCAGTGTCGCGGGCACTACCACTTTTTTCGGCTTCTGGACTCTTTATCGCTTCAGCGGTAGTGGCGAGCGGTAGTACTGCTCTAAGCGGTACTACCGGCCAGCCACTACCGCTGCTACTTCCACCTATTTTATCGCCTCTGGACTCGTTTTCCTCTCTACGGTTGTAGGGCGGCTGTAAGGGGCGGTAGTACCGCTTCTCCCCTGTATACTGCAACCTCAACGGTAGTACTGCTCCGGCGGCACTGCCGCCTCCGGATGCTTCTTCTGTGCACTATACTCCGGGTACTTCCACCCGAGCGGTAGTACGGCTTCTGTGCGTCCAGTGCACATAACGATTGGATTTGGGGAGGCCTATAAAAGGGGGTCTTCTTCCCAATGATTCTTATCCTTTGAGCTCGTGTTCTTCCCCCATTGTTGAGCTTCTTCGAGCTTGCTATCTCTCAATCCCTCCTAGTTTTGGGGGAAAAGAGAGAGGAGATCTAGATCCACATTTCCACCAATCACTTTCTCCTCTATGTGAGGGGAACCCCTTGGATCTAGATCTTGGAGTTCTTAGTGTTCTCCTTGTTCTTCCTCTCATTTTCCTCCATAGCTTTCGTTGCTTTGGTGGGACTTGAGAGTGAGGGACTTGGGCACTCCGTGTGCCCTTGCCATTGCATTAGTTGCATCAGTTTGAGTTCTCCACGGCGATACGTGGAAGTGAATAGTTGAGAAGCTTATTACTCTTCGGTGCTTGGTACACTAGAGCTTGTTCCTCTTGGGTGCTTGGGCGCCCTAGACGATTGGTGGTGTCTCGGAGCTCGATCATTGTGGTGTAAAGCTCCGAGCTTGCGTCGGGGTCTCCAATTAGGTTGTGGAGATTGCCCCGAGCAATTTGTACGAGTTCCGGTGACCGCCTCCAAGAGTTGTCAAAGTGTACGGGTTCGGTGACCGCCCCCAAGGGTTGCCATTTGTACGGGTTCGGTGACCGCCCTCAAGGGTCCCTTAGTGGAATCACGGCATCTTGCATTATGCGAGGGCGTGAGGAGATTACGGTGGCCCTAGTGGCTTCTTGGGGAGCATTGTGCCTCCACACCGCTTCAAACGGAGATTAGCATCCGCAAGGGTGTCAACTTCAGGATACATCGTCGTCTCCGCATGCCTCATTTATCTCTTAACCGAGCCCTTTACTTATGCACTTTACTTTGTGATAGCCATAGTGTTTCATGTTATATATCTTGCGGTCACTTAGTTGTCTGTCTTGCTTAGCATAGGTTGTTGGTGCACATAGGTGAGCCTAGTTGTTTTAGGTTTTGTGCTTGACAAATTAAACACTAGTTTTATTCCGCATTTGTTCAACCCTAAACCGTAATTATTTTTGAAGCGCCTATTCACCCCCCCCCCCCACACACACACACACCCTCTACGCGACATCCACGATCTTTCACCGGTAAGTTTCACAGTACCAATGGTACTTTGTGTTTCTGCTAGTTATTTTTATGTGTGTGAATTTTGAAGGTAATAATGTGTCAGGCTGTAGAAGTGTGCCATGCTGACTATGTAGTAACCTTCCCCTGTTTCTTCGTGCCAGATCTAGTTTAAACCGTCGATTGCCTATCCAGTGGCTCTCCCTTGATGATAACGGTTCGCCACTGGTGCCGCTGCTCACCTTTTGATGCTTCATCCTAGGGCTCCAATCCTTCGACCCATCGTTGTTTACTTTCCGACAAGCGCATGTGCGCAGTGTTGCTTTTCTTCAGTCTTTGTGTTGTAATGGCTATAAAGCCTCCCCTCTTTCTCCATTTTGGACACGCTGAATGAAATCGAGTATAAACCCTAGCCGCCTGTGGCGTGCTTCTCCTACTTTCCCCTTTTTCAAGGAATACACCCTAGGTTGATTTCCTCCAAATTCTCTCTGAAATTGCTTGGTTGATTGTTAAAATTTAGTTAAGTCTAGTCCAGGTCTTGACACAATGAAATGTTGATTCTCCTATGCATAAAATTTGTAGCTGACATTTTTCCATGTGATAGAGTTCATACAAAAAACCAAGGGGGCTTCAAAAGGCTCTCAAAGGGTCAAGTTTCAAGAAGCAAAAACAGGTTACACTTATAGAGTTGTATAACTTAAGAGCAACTCCATCGCATAATTCAAAATCCGATTATCAAGAATATCTGCTGTACTGAAGGAGTAAAAAGGCTTTTAAAACACAGAACCTCAGATCCTCTTTTATCATGTAATAATGAGAACACCTCAAGGATATTGGTCTATTGCATGCTTTGCTACAATTCAGAAAATGTTATTCTATTTGATACAAGGATGAACAAGCTGATGTAATTATTGACTAGTAAAGAACATACTTGCTCCAAGCTGGAAATTCCGTATCCAGTATATGATGAAGAAAGTAATGGTTGAACCAGTGACCATTTCTCAACCTCCAACGCAAGTGACAATGGTTCCAAGTAACTGTTAGGTTTTCGAAATGGATTAGTGCTATAGAATCAGACTTAATTGTTATATAAATAATCAAATAAAACAGATAAGTTTTGCATTATGATAATATATTTCTGAAAGCGTGTTATGATCAATTTGTTCCATCAGTCCACCACCACCTCCTTGAACATGCATAAATTTGCTGACACTTTGCCGTGGTTTTGAGGCTGTCTCACTTTGAAAGATTTCTGTTAACCGGGACCAAAACAAATTCTAATACTCCCTCCATTTTTATATACAAGGCCACAATCAAAATTATAATTTGCAACTATACAAGGCCACAGACACTAATCGAGACAAACTGATGGTATTTGCCTCGTACTAGCAAAGGGGGCATTAATTATCCCTTGCATGCATGTGGGTGTGAGAAGGTTGGCTTGCATGAGCCTCATTAATCAACCAAAAGGAGTGAGAGCATTGGTTTGTTGTAGGTGGGATAGAAAAATATGCATTAATTAACACGACAAACAAGGAGACAAGCTAGCTTGCTAGTATATTGCCTTAAGCACACATTTACTTTTGCCTTGGTACCTGTAATATGGGTTTGTGGCCTTGTATACAAAAATGGAGGGAGTAATTATCTTTGGTTAGACTGACAGGGCATTAGGCATAAACCCCATACCACGTGTGATGCTTGGAATTTCTAGCACCTTGAGCAACACATATTTTGCCTTAAATGTTGGGACAAGGTCAGCATTGTAAAGAGTGTTTTTAGTTGACAGAAGGCAGCATTTAGATAACGCAAGGCCAGAAATAAGAAAAACCAAGAGATAAGTAAAGGATGCTAAACTTATTGAAGCATAAAAATGACCAAATGAACACATACTTTAACAGAAGCTTGCCCATTACATGCAGTAGTTAAGTTGAGGGCACAGTTATCAGAGATGATGATTAATACGCTAAAATGAACTACTTGCAAATAAAAAAATTGTTTTATGTCAGCAGTACAACAAATAATGGGGCAAATACAATTTAGCATAACATGGCTATGCTTGGTGTCAGGCTTTGATGGACAGCATGTGCCAGTAATAATTAAGAAAACAGAATCATATATTTATCACTGCCAAGACTAACAGAGGTGAACATAGTAGAACACAAGGAAGAAAGAAAGTTACAAGAATAATGTTTTCAATTATAAGCATGTATCATCGATTAACAATTGGCATGGAGCCAATCATAAAATGCATAATTGGGACATGACCCTGGATGGTACCCTATACCCAATGATTGGGTTAGAAATATCTCTGCTTGTAATGACCTACCCCCTTGGGCCAACAAAATGGAAGAATCTACTACTGACCTAACCCTATTACTGAAAAGTAGATAAAAGTAAACGACAATATTCTTCTATGCTTTATTGAGGGGTCGGCCCCTTGTATAGTAGACAAGACATGACCAAAAGCCGGTAAATCTATTGATCTATTCAAACTCTAATACAATCTCTAAACTGACTGGACTCTTTCCTAATAAAGATGCTTAATCAACTAGGACTCTAATTAAGGGATAAGACTCCATGTTTGATGGACTGGTCCACATAGCATCTCTCCCTTCCTTGAAAAACAGCTTGTCCACAAGCTGTAGGTTGTCAATTGCCTCCCAGGGGATCTTGGCCTCTGATGTAGGGGTGGGCATAAAAACCGATGAACCGAACACCGAACCGAAGCCGAAACTGACAAAACCGAATTTTCAGTTTTTATAATAGTATAAATAATTTTGGTTTTTATTTCCAAAAGCCAAAGTAAGTTCGGTTGATTCGATATTTATCTCGGTTAGCCGAAATCATGCCGAACTATACCTGAGACAGAACACAGACTAACGTGGAACACTCACCCAGATCGAAGGAATGTCGCTCTCCACTTCTCCCGTACCCAACCACTTCGCTACCATCAAAGCCATGGCGACAAGCAGAAACTAGGACGCCACTTTTTTGGATCGTGGGCTGGGCACTTATATGAAACTGCCCCCTTGCATGAAACTGCCCACGTACGAGAATGCAAATAGCCAATCGGAAACTTTAGTCCAACCTCGCATCGCTGAGGAGATAAGGCAGGGACATCCTGCTATATATAAGAGGTTGCTCTCAGCAGATTTGGTAAAGGCAAGGTCTGTCCGGTAGAAACCAAAATCACACCAAATAAGTTCGTTAACCAAACTTTCAGTTAGTTATTTTCAATTCCCATTTTCCGTTTCTAGCTTAGCTAACCGAATTTGAAAATAAACAGAATGATAGAAACCGAATTTTCGGTTTATACCAAATGCCCACCCCTACTCTGATGACTATGACCAGATGTGGAACTATCTTGGTCGTAGTCATCAGCCACGATTAAGAATAGTCGCGCACACCGGTGACCCCGAACATAAATCTCATCGCTGCTGAAGCAAAGATCCTGACGACGACGTTCTACTAACTCAGCTGGAGTGAGGCGCCGAACCAGCCGTGGCAGGGTTGGCTCTGCAGTGGTCGACGGCAAAACAGGTGCTAGTGGCGGTAGCGGGGACGGTATTGTAGTTGCATTGACCACGGGAAGATCGGAGGGGCACAAGGGCCCTGTAGAACCAGAAGCCTGGTTGGTGATGTTGTTGGAGGGAAATGCCACTGCTCATAGGCCTTCGCAAAGGAGATAGCTGTGTGGAGGTCAGGTGGATGCTGAAGCTCGACATCAATGCGAAGACCCTTGGGCAGCCCTGTTGTGTATGGAAACCGTTGTTGGGACGGTGTTAATGGCACATTGTTGCAGCACATGAGCGCTGTTAAGCTTCATGCACTAGGCAACGCAAACAAAAGGCCGAACTGATGGAAAGGGCTAGGCAATCCACATATGCACTTCAATACCCCCTCTCATGTGTGAAGCGGGAAATCACCGAGGATAAAGGTGCAAAATCCTGTGACAAGCAAGGTGAGGAAACCATGGGAGATGGCGGCGGCAGATCTGCAACAAGCGCTAGAAACCTGCTGGTGTAGTCTGCACCCGAGGAAGTGAATAGCAGACATGCCAACTCACCCAAGGGATTGGCATGGAGTGACGGACCAAACTAAACGTGGCAAGCTTCCTTGAACCACTCCCATGCCGGCATGCCGAATTCGTGCTTGAGCTGTAAGTACCAGAACTGAGCGCCGTACGTGAGGTGGTAGGCTGCAGTCCAGACCTTGTTAGCCTCGTCTGTGCGTTGTCCATGAAAAAACTGCTCGCACCTATTGAGCCAACCAAGTGGATTGACTAAACCGTCATATGTCAGGAAGTCAAGCTTGTGGAAATGAGGCACGCCTGAACCAAAATCTGGTCTGAGGTGATTGTTAGGTAGGGGTGGAAGGGAGCTGATGGGCGTGGTTGATCCATAGATGGGTATCCATGATCTAAAATCCTCTGGATGTGCATGGAGAATGTGATGGTTATGGCTAGCCAAGACGCCACCGGATAAGCCATAGAGTGCTTTCTCTATACAAGTTTATGACTCAGTTCGGGCCTACTTCTCCACTGCCATGATGACAATTGTGGGTGACGGTAACTCTACTTCATTCTGAACCGATAATTGGCTAGTAGGGAGCTGGAGGCCCATTGCTGGCTTGGCCCCTAATCTTTTTGCTCTACTCCCTAAGCGAACCATACAGTGAAAGAGATTGCTGGTGACCTCACGATTGCAGCCCTGGCTGAGTTCATAGACATTTGGGAATTGATGCAAGTTGTGCAGCAACAACCGGATGTGCAAGATGAACACCGCTGAAAATTCAGAGTCTGGCCAGTTCTCAACCAGTTCGGCATATAAGGCCTTATTCCATGGGGTTGTTTATTTTGAGCCATGGAAGCTTATTTGGAAGTCTTGGGCGCCAAAGCAGTGTTGGTTTTTCCTCTGGTTTGCGCTTTACAATAGATGCTGGACTACCAACAGATTAATGCGAAGGGGTTTAACCCACCCGAGCCAATGCCCTATTTGTGATCAAGAGCCAGAGACGATCCAACAGCTTTTAACAAACTGTGTCTTCTCTAGACAAGTTTGGTGCATGGTACTTCCCTTCCTGTTGCTAGACAAGGCACACTTAGCACTTCTTTTTCCTCGCCTTATAATGAACTTGTTTTCTGCCGGTCAGCTTACCAACTTTGGTTGTCACGTCATTCTTGGCGTTGACTCTTGTACTCATCAGGATCAGCGCACGTGTACCATGGTTGGGGCTGGCCCTCGCCGCTGTGATTCTCAGTGGCTTTGGGAGTTAGACTGGCTTCACATTTCTTCCTCTTGCCACCACTATTGCCGGTCCCTCTGCTACCGTCGCTTCAGCTACCGGCTCCTTCCATCAGCAGCATCATCTACTCGGTCATCTTTGTGGTTCTCGGCAGGGTCTGCCTCAGGAGATGTCTCTTTAAAGTGTCAGGGTTGTAGGCTTGGCAAACAGATTCAGCTACCTTATCATACTAGTGAGTTAGTGTCTCAGTGTCCTTTTGATTTAGTTCATTCCGATGTAGGGGGTCCGGCTGCCTTTGCTTCGAAAGGGGCCCATCGATAGCATATCATTTTTTATACTCCCTCCTTCCATCTATATAGGGCCTAATGCGTTTTTCAAGATAGCCTTTGACTATTCGCAAATTTAATCATACATGAGATGTGTAATATGAAAAATATATCATTGGAAGCTCCTTTCACATACGAATTTAGTGGTATGCTTTGTGTAAGTTGCATGTCATATATTATTGCTCTAACATTTAGTCAAACTTAGCCTCGAAAAGCGCATTAGGCCCTATATAGATGGAAGGAGGGAGTAGATGATTTCTCTCGCTACACTTGGCTGTATTTTATGTCTTCTCGCAGTGTTCTTTCTATACATAAGTGTTTTGTTGCCGTGGTTCATACTCAGTTCTCTATGCCTATTCATGTGTTTCATGCTGACTCTGCTGGAGAGTATATCTCCAAGATGTTGTGTGTTGTACTGTTGTCCTTGCTGAGCAAGGTACTCTTGCTTGGCTTTCTTGTCCTGGTGCTCACGCCCAGAATGGTGTGACCGAGTGTAAGCATCATCATCTTCTTGAGACAGCTCGTGCCTCTCTTCCGCCTCACTTTTGGGCCGAGGTTGTTTCCACTTCTACCTATCTCGACATCACTATTCAGCTTCCCACTGCTTTGCAGGGTGGGTTTCTTTCGGGCGCCTTTTTGATCGTTCTCCTGATTATTCAGCGCTTTGTTTGGTTGTGTCTAGGTTCTTCTTCTGAACGCACCAAACTGTCCACTCAGTCTGTCAAGTGTGTCTTCTTAGGATACAGTGGTGAGCATCTGCTGTTGGGATCCTGTCGGTCGTCAGATGCGTATTTCTCCAGATGTGACTTCTGATGAGCCTCGTCCCTTCTACCTGCGTCCATCTTCTTTAACCTTTTCAATGGAGGATATCTCTTTCCTCACTTTTTCCGACACACCTATCACTCCTGTTGAGCCCTTGTTTACCCATGTCACTACTGCTTCTCAGACCATTGAAGATCTGCCACACCCATCTCCTATGGTTTCCTCACCTTGCTTATCACAGGATTTTGCACCTTCATCCCCAGTGGCTTCCTCGCCTCCATCACCCGAGTATCCCAGTGGTTCCTCCTTGTATTCTTCCATCTTTTACTCACGGGTATACCCGTCGCTGCCTCTTGTGGATGAATCTACTGGTGCGCCATCTACTTCTGATGTGTCATCTTCCTCGTCAAAGCCTACTTATGACTTACGTGCTCGTCTACTCCTCATGTTTGACCGCCTTGGTTTTTCTAGCGACGACGCTGCTGTTCTTGAGCCAACTTCTTATTGTGATGTTGTTCATCCTAAATGGCAGCTTGCGATGGCAAAGGAGATTGCTACTCTTGAGCGCACCGGCACGTGGGATCTTGTTTCTCTTCCTCCTGGAGTTTGCCCATCACTTGTAAGTGGGTCTACAAGGTTAAGACTCGCTCTGACAGTTCTCTTGAGCGCTACAAAGCTCGTCTTGTGGCTCGTGGCTTTCAGGAGCTCGTGATTATGATGGGACTTTCGCTCATGTGGCCCATGTGACACTATTCGCAGACTTCTTGATGTGGCCTCTATTCGCCATTGGTCTGTATCTCAGCTTGAAGTTAAGAATGTCGTTTTCTTAACAGTGAGTTGCGTGAGGAGGTCTACATGCAGCCACTACCTATTCTGTTCCTAATGGCATGGTTTGTTGTCTTCGTCACTCCCTCTATGGCCTTAAGCAAGCCCCTCGTGCATAGTTTGAGCGTTTCGCCTTTGTGGTGATTGTCGCTGGTGTTTTGGCGAGCGCTCATGATCCTGCGTTGTTTGTCCAGCTTTCTCCTCGTGATCGAACTCTTCTATATGTTGATGACATGATCATCACTAGCAATGACCCTGAGTACATTGCCTTTGTAAAGGCGCGTCTTAGTGAGCAGTCTCTTATGGTTGTCTTGACCCTATTTGCTACTTTCTTGGGATTAAGGTTTCCTCTACCTCTGATGGCTTCTTTATTTCCCAAGAGAGGTATGTGTAGGATCTTCTTGCTCGTGCCGCTCTTACCGATGAGTGCAATGTTGAGACTCCCATGGAGCTCAATGTTCACCTCGGTGCTTTTGATGGTGATCCCTTGTCTAATCCGACACATCAGCTTGTGGGGAGCCTTTGTCTATTTAGCTACCACTCGTTCGGATATCTCCTATCTTCTCCATAGTTTGAGTCAGTCTACCGCAGCTCCCAGTATGGTTAACTATAATCCCTTCTTCGTGTTCTACGATGTCTTCGTGGCACGATCTCTCACAGTCTTTTCTTTCCCCGCTCCAGTTCATTACAGCTTCGGGCCTATTCTGATGCTACATGGGCTAGTGATCCCTCAGATCGCCATTCACTTTCTGCTTACTGTGTTTTTGTTGGTGGTTCTCTCACCTGGAAGACGAAGAAACAGATCGCAGTTTCCCATTCGAGTGCGGAGTTTGAGTTGTGGGTTGTGGCCCTTTTGACGGCGGTGACTTGGTTACGGTGGTTACTTCAGGAGTTTGGTGTGTTACTACACCTACTGCACTCTTGTCTGACAGTACAAGTGTTGTCAGTATTATGTGTGACTATGTGAAGCATGAGCTCACCAAGCATATTGGTGTTGATGCTTCTTTTGTGTACACTGGCATGCAGGACCAGGTGATTGCTCTTCAGTATGTGCCTTCCAAGTTACAGTTGGCAGATTTTTTACGAAGGCCCAGACTGATCCGCCCCGTGTTTGAGGGCGGTGTTAGAGTTATATTATGTTCCATGTATAGCATGCGTATTTTCCCCGTTGTATGAGGGGTTTCCTGCGTATTTACCACCTTTCTTTGGCACAACAACACCCACCCTGCATTATATTAAAAACAGTGGGGCACATCCCGCCCCACAAAACATTACATTGTCAGAGACTTGAAAGTCCCATAAAACTAAAGCAAGCTTATACATGATCCTGAAAATACACGTGTACACACTCCTAATAGGATAAATGTTGAGGATATCACTTATTGTTAGCATTTCATTCCGCTGGGGATTAGAGATTAATTGGAAATCGGTCGATTAATTGATTTTATCTGTTGACTACTAATCGGCCTGTTTTTGCTTGGAATTCCTAGGTTCCAAGCACTAATAAGGTAAAAATGGAAACAACCAGTCACTGTGCTCTATGCTTTTAAATAGGACAACACTACATCAATGCATAACTACATATTACATGTCAAACAATGAGTCAATGACAAATAGAATAGGACAACACTACATCAATGCATAACTACATATTACATGTCAAACAATGACTCAATGACAAATAGAATAGGACAACACTACAACACATGTCCTATTGAACGGGTGATGAAGTGTGACGTGCGGGAGGCTACCGAAGGGGAGCCCTATTTTGGGATTTCTAACCACATGGCCCAGCCTGATTAATCGCTAGATTCCTGATTAGTCGCTTGTCAGAGCGATAAATCGGCCCAAATGATAAATAGCAAAGATAAGGTATAATCTTAGCGACCACCCACCGATAAGCAATAAATCGGTGAGTTGGACGATATTTTGAACATTAACATGTGTCTTGGATAACTCCGCAGCTTGCCGTGATACATGCACACGCGTCTGCTGACGAGCTCCTCCGCGGACCAACTCCAAGAACGGGCTCGAACGGTGGCCACCACCAGCTGGAGAAAGCATCTTGCAGACAGAAGGGCCTCCACTAGATCCGATTGGATATTGGAGGTTGCAGAAGTTGTTGATGCCTGAGAAGATGGGGATGCTCATGCACCAGCTGACGACAGTGTTGGACATGTAGAATACTGATGAAAGAGTTGAATGAGAAGGAAAAAAGCACTTGCTAGCGATCTGGGAGACACCCCTGAAATGGGCAGTGGATGTCGGATGCAACGCCGTTCAATACTAAGAGCCACGCCAGCCACTCAGATCCGAAACCCAGAAAGGGGCCTCCACTTATGGAGGTTGAAGAGATCTCAAGCAGGAGACTAGCAAGAGACACGGCAGGGATAGTCTTATGGAGATGCATAGATAGCACAAGGAAAGCATCACCCCCGAAAAGAAGATCAGATGGCAAAGATTGCAAGAAAACACCGGCACCTGACCTGATCTGGCCTGAACAGATTGCTGGACACCCATCTGTGAAGCACCACAAGCAGAATTTGGACATCGGAAGAAAAGGATGGGGTTAAGCTAACCCGGTGAACTAAACAAATGGAACCAGCAGCAGGGGCATGGGAAATTGTTGAAAGGGAGAGACCACGACTTGCCGACGGAAAACCCAACTCTCCAAAATTCAACCGCGAGGCAAGGGGATTGAAGGAGGGTTAGATCCGGCAAAGACAGTATAAGGGAGGTTATTTGAGAGGGCTACAACCAAACGTACCATGGAAAGGCCGAAAATGAGGATAACCACGGTGGCTGCAATGCCATGGACGTCAGAGAAACGAGCTCGAAGGTGCCTCCAAACCACCAAGAGGAAGCCCAAACTAACCATAAAGGATGCAAACCAAGTGGATCTACAAAGGGGAGGGTGGCACCGAGCTCCTCTCCCCTCCTTCTCCAGCGAGACAAACCAGCGGAGGAGAAAGGGAGAAGAGGCGATGGGGGAGAAGAGGCGATGGGGGAGCGGAGGTGGAAGACCGGAATAGAGGACTTGAGGAGAGAGAAAGAAAAGAAGAGAATGAAAGCGTCATGGAGTTGTTTACATATTTACCACCTGTACATGTACTATATATATTAGCCCTTGGCCCCAATGGAATACAAGTTGCTATTTCCCTAACAATGGTATCCTTTGGAGGAAAACAATGCTATGATCAAATATTTAATGGAACTATATAGCTAATAAGAGTGGCTGACTCTGCGTGAGACTTAAAAAGAAAAGCAACTTACTCAGTTGCTAAGAGCCCATCTGCCAAACCACCAATGAAAATCACCTGACGGGTGAAATCACGAGTCCTGAACGCAACCTGAAAAAGGGATGTCAAGTTATCACACAAACGCTGCAACAATAACAATAAACATAAAACAATTCATGAAGAGAATTTGTAGATGGAATCATGCAAACCACAATATGATGAGGGGTATCGAGAAATCAAAATAATATTAACAATTCATGAAGAGAATTTGTCGATGGAATAATGCAAACCATAATGTGATGAGGGGTATCGAGAAATCAAAATAATATTCTTTTTTTCTAAATCCCAGATAATATAACAAAAAATAAATAATGGACATGTGTATATGCTAAAAAGATAAAGGCTTCTAAGAGATTTCAGGTAGACACTGCCAGATGTAAAAAGTTCTTGTGCTTGAAAAAATCTACTATGTCATATGTTTACGACCAATCCTTTGTACACTATCATACCTCTTTTGTACAGGATAACTATCAGTTATGTTCTCAGAAAAAATACAGAGCATTGTACTCAAATGATAATCTGACCATTAAATATTTTTAACAACAACAAAGCCTTTAGTCCCAAATAAATTGGGGTAGGCTAAAGCTGAAACCCATAAGACATAAGCTGGAGAAAACAAGAAAAGGACATGCATAAAGGGTCTACATTGTATATTGAGTAGGCTTTCTTCCACAAGAAATGGCAGACACTAATGGACAAATCAACAGAAGGCATGACCATGCAATATCAGCAAAGGAATTAGGGCATCTCCAACGTGGACCCCTACTCCGGCCTCAAATGTCCGGACAGGATTATCCGGACACTTTGAAGCCTCCGACACGGACCGTCAAGACGTCTTAAATCCCCCAGCCCGGCCCAAATCAAAGGGCTACCACGTCGGATCTAACAGTCAGAACCCATCGATTATGACCGCGGGTCGCCGCCCCGCTCCCCAACAGGATTTCCCGCCGTCGCGTCGCCTTCCCAAAGCGATTTCCCTCCCGCACCCTCCACTTCCAGACATGGTTTCACTCCCCTTAAAACTGGATGTCGCTCCCCTCCCCTCGCCGCCCAGTCTCTTTGGAAGCCGCCATGGCGCCCCGCAACCATCACAATGTCAATCTCTTCATGTGCCCATCATGTCGAAGCCAATGGAGTGTGAGCCTACACAAAGGCGTGTGCCGCCCATCACGGCACCCGTGGCGCTCGCCGCCCATCATTTAGCCTACGCCGAGTATGAGAAGTGCAAAGTTCGTGATGCTCTCGATCGGGCGGAGCGGCACGAGACGGTCACTTAGGGAGAACTGCCACAACACCCACTTATATGCCGCGGAGGAGCCTGTCGCCGCTCCCACGCCAGTCACCGCTCCAGCCGCCTCCAGTGATGCCCTCTCCGATGTGTCCGAGGAGGTAGCTTCCATGGCTTTGGACGTGATGATGATCGATTAGTCATAGTTTATTTTACTATCTATTTGTATCGCAAATATGATGTTGAACATCTAATTATATTGAAGATGTTGCATTTTGAGGAAAATTTGGGTGCTAGCGTTAGATGGTTGGCACCCGTCGGACTTGATTTTTACCAATTACACCAGAGCGTTTCCAAGGGTGAATCCACTTTGTAGTCATCGGAAGGTTTATAACTCTAGTTCTAGTGTTTGTTGTTGCTTGTTCAGAGGATAAAACAGGTTCTAAGATGTTGTTCCTGAGTCCCGGGATGACACCATCCGTTCGATGTTTTTGCCCTGCCCTTAGTCAGGAATAAAAAAGAACATAATGGCTAAGTCGGGGCCACCAAAAGCAACCGAAAGCAAAATCACTCACCCATGTGGGTCGTGAAAGATTATACAAGCTTCCTTTTTCCTACAGGAATCAAAGAACCACACGCATCAACGTAGAATCCCACGAGCTAAAAAGCAGGACGCTGCAAATCCAAACAGGAGATCCCGCATCTCGAACACTAGGGGGAATCTCGAGTTCCAAATGCCACGCAGGTAAGAGGTACCATTCTAGAAGCATCCAGAACATCCGATCCAAAGAATTCCCACGCCAAAGGAATTGCGAAGCACTTAAGAGCATGCAGCTGATGAGCGGAACTGAATCCAACACCCCTGGGAAAAAGAAAAGAAAAACTCGAAACCGTCCATAGATCATCACTGCGAGCTACGACGAGAGGCTTGACGCACGAGAGAAATAGGCCCGTACCTGAGCGGACTTGGGCCCGTACTTGAACAGCGTGCCCTGGAGCTGCTTCCTGCGAGCGCATACGCCTGTGGTGGCTACAGGGGCAACGACGCCACCCTTGCCGCTCACGGCAGCAGGGGTGTCGGGAAGGGAGACGGGGGCGGAGGTGACGCCGCCGGCGGGAGGCATGGCTGAAGAAGGGGGATTACCGGATGCTGTGCGCACGATTCCGGAGAACCAGGAAGAGGTGGAAGCCGGCGAGGTCATAGCGGCCGCCGGTGAGGTCACGGCGAGGGCATCACGGGGACGGGAGGTGCAGCGAACTTGACGACTTGGGATCGGGGAGCAAGGGCATCTCCGAGGCGGGCACCATTCCGAACCTATCTGTCCGGGATATCTCGAGTGGGCACGATCTGAACCAGGGGCATCTGCACCCACTTGCCAAAAAATGCATTTTAAGTACGTTTTAAAATCTTAAAAAACAAAAGAAAATTTCATGCATACATATTCATAAATGTGTGTGCGCGATGACTCTATTTAAATATCGCCTTTATCTTTAGTGTGGTAAGGTGGAGCACTGTAATGGCGGGCGACACACGCGACTCGCGCGGCGACGCGGGCGGCGCGGGCGGCGCACACGCCTCACGCGGTGGCGCGAACGGCGCTCGAGGCGGCGCTGGTGGAGCACACGGCGGTGCGACCCGCGCGGGGGGCTCACGAGGGGCGGGTTCCGCAGGAGATTCGCGCAGCGCAGGCGATGCGCGGTGGCGGGTCTGGTTCGCATCGGATCTCGTGTCGGCGAGGCGGATCTCGCTGGATGACGGCGTACTCTGACTCCGACGTGAGGCGCTACGCATCGTCCTCCTTGACGATCGCGGGGAGACGGTGGATGCGCGGTTCCTCCGGGAGGGTGAGTCCTTCGACATCGGTGATATCATCGCGTTTCCCTGCCATTTTGCTCGTGTTCGTGACAGGATTCCGGCGCCAATCGCGGTGGTTGCCGGTGCGAGCTCGTCGGCGGAGGCACCCACAAGTCAAAAGGGATCGGGCGCTCGCGGTGGGGGCCGCCCCATCCGCCTGACAGGAGGGCCGGGGATTTTGGGGTGTGGCCCGGGCCACCATTACCCCGATGTTCGACACGTGGGGCGGGGGGATCGGACCGCCATGGATCTCTTGACCCTAGGGTTTCCCTGTGCACCACACATATAAAACAGAGCCCCGCCCCCTCCTCCCAAATTCTGGATCTCGACGAGAGCCTCTCTCACTTCTGGGGCGCGCCGTCGCCCCCTCGATCTAGGGTTCCTCGTTCTTTCTCTTGGTGGGAGGGCAAAATCCGGGGCGACCCTCGTTCCTTTGCTCAAGTTGTTAGTTCTCCACCACTTTCACCCACCCCTGCTCCGATCTGTGAGGAGAACACCATGAGAGAAGAGGGCTTCGGTGCGGGGCGACATGGTCGGGGGGCTGGTCGTTTCGATCGGGGCCGGGGTCGCGGCCGCGGCTTCGACTACAACGTCTGGAAGCGCAAGACGGATTCGGGAGGATCCTCGACTCAGAAGGCTTCTGGATCTGGTGATGCTGGATCCAGGAAGTGGGATGAGGCTGCTGGAGACAAACACGCTGCTCCGCCTCGGCAGGGGAGGTGGGGAGATGATGATGGGAACACGAGCGAGCCACGCGCGGTGGAGAAGAATCCTGCATCACCTCACGCGCGTGGGCCTCCTGAGCATACTGGTAACATCGCTCCCTTCCCCTACCCATGTCAGATCTGTAATCTGACTGGGCACCCCACTGCTAGATGCCTGCAAGCGATATGCGAGCGGTGCAAGAAGAAAGGACATCTATCTGTTTTTTGCACTGAGTTCTTGCCTTGGGAATTTTCTCCTGCTATGTGTGCTTTTCAAAGCAAAGGGCAAGGTTTCTTCTACATTCCTGATTTCAGTATCGATAGGCAGCCTAGAGAGAGGATTTACAATATTGTAGTCACTATCACCGAGGGGGCTGCACTGACTAAGGATATAGAGCATGAGCTTAGTGTGTATGTGGGGCAGGGATGGCGTTGCTCTGCTAAATTTTTCGCTCCTCGGATGTTTGTGATGTGTATGCCTAGTCCTAGAGAAGTTGATCGCGCTCTGTTTGTTGAACATATTAAGTTGAAGCAGTGTGGAGTTTCGATCAAGTTTTCCCCTTGGTCCGAAGATATTGATTCAGAAGGGCTCCTGGAAGTTGCTTGGGTGAGAATTGGGAAGATCCCCCCTAACAAACGCTGCGATAAAACTGTGGCTTATGTGGGCGGGCTTGTGGGCATAACCCTAGAAGTGGATATGTCCACTATGAATCGCCCATCTTCAGTTAGGGCCAAAATTGGGTGCAGATCTGTGAAGCAGCTCCCTGCCACAGCTGAAGGGGTCTTGGGGGGCGTTTTTACAAATTCACATATGAAGTTGAGGAAATCCTGGTGATAAATCATGTACATGAGGAGACTGTTCGTGTGGATGCTAAAGATGCTCCCACCAAAACTGACCAGACTCCTAAACGTAAACGAGATGATCAGGGATTGGAGGGAGAACAATCTAACCCTAAGAATGGGGAGAAAAGAGAGTCAACTGCTCATGGGGGCAAGACCTGTCGTCTGTCACCACAAGAGCAAGAACCGTCCATGTCTTCTGACAGTGATGTTGATTCTTCTCTCCTAATTGAGACTATGGCTAAAGAGCATGAACTTGCGGTGAATAAGACAGATTAGGAGGCCTCCAATTGGATGGTAACTCTAAACCATGCTGGGGGCTGCGCTCTGGTGGAAAAATCTGTTAACCAGGGAGTGAAGGTAAATGCACCATCTATAGCTCGTCGATCTTTGTCTTACACCGATGTGGTTTCTAACTCTACTCGGATTGTGGAAGTGGAAGGTGACGTTGACTCAAGCCTGAAGGACAATAGTGACTACGTGGTACAACTTCCACCTTCTGAATGCAGTGATGAGATTATCCTCACCCCTCCTCTTGCTCCTGAAGCAGTTATTAAATTCAGCAAGCGCAATGTGCAGAGGATGCAGGAGAATATTGAGACAAAAGCCATTCATCTTGCTCAGAAACGAGACCTGGGAGGTAATAATCACACTTCTTGCAGTAACTCTTTTGATACTCTTTCCAACACTGAATTGCTTAGTAGAGTTGCTTGCATGGGAGTGGATATACCTGATAATGATTTCTCTTGCATTAATATTCTTAGAGAGCTAGAGAGGGTGAGAGAGAACCTGGATGAGAAAAATAGGATGGATGAGAATAAGGAAAATAATGCTGATAATGGGGATGATATTCTAGTTACTAATGGGTTGGGGAAAATTGTCCCTGTTAATCTTACCTAGCTTGACCAAGAAGATATCTTGCATGAGCAGGTCTCATCTGATAAGAAAACTAGGAGACTTAGGAAAAAAATCTGCTGTTAAGCTACCTAGACCTGTGACTAGGAGCCAGAAAAAACACAGCTCTAATGAAGAACTTGTCTGTAGCCCTGCAAAGCCTCCTGGCAGGGCTACTCGATCCCAATTCCACAAAAAGCGTTCCAAATGAGAGGTCTCATTTGGAATTGTAGAGGGGCAGGCAAGAAAGGAATGGCCACCTGCCTCTCAGACTTGATTAGTGACCATTCCCTGGATTTCATCGGGCTGCAGGAAACTATGAAGAAAAAAATTACTCCTAAATGCATTAGGAGGATTGATCCCTTTGGTCTGTTCCATTGGGAATGGATTCCATCTATGGGAAAATCTGGGGGCATCCTGGGTGGTGTGAGACATGATACTTTTGATATCGTCTCCTGTAGCAAAGGCAAATATATTCTGCAAATGGTTATACGTGACAAGAAGAGGAAAGTTGCCTGGGGCATGTTGGTAGTTTACGGGTCTGCTCATGAGGAGTACAAAGAGGAGTTCCTAGTTGAGCTTGCTACCATGTGTAGTAATATGAATGTCCCCTACATTGTAGGCGGTGACTTTAATATCCTGTGGAGCTGTGATGAGAAAAATAAGAAAATGAGTAATAGTAGATCCACTGATCTCTTTAACTCTATTATCAATGCCCTAGCCCTTAGAGAGATTCACACTAGCGGGGGGAAGTGTACCTGGACAAACAACCAAGCCCACCCCACTCTAGAAAAACTCGACCGGATTTTGATGTCTGAGGACTGGGAAAGTCTATTTCCTTTGGTATCTGTTAGAAAATTGGTCCGGGAACTTTCAGATCACAACCCCCTGCTGCTGTCCAGTGGGGAGGGAGGGCGTGAAGCTCCTAAACCTCGTGAGTTTCGTTTCAATCTTGCCTGGATCAAAGATGATAAATTTATGCCCACTGTTGCTAAGATTTGGGCAAGGAAAGTTTTCTCATTTGATCCTATTGACATCTTGAACATTAAACTGAAAAGATTCAAAACTTACTTCAAAGGTTGGGGTTCGGATAAATATGGTCACGATAAGAAAAGGAAGGAAGAACTTAGGATGGAACTGGCCATGCTAGAAGAACTAGAAGAAAATGGCCCCCTGTCCCCTGAGCTATATGGCATTAAGGTGGCTGTTGGCATTGAGCTGCATGAGCTGTTGGTGAATGAGGAGATCTTTTGGCTCCAACAATCTCATGAGCGTTGGCTCCTAAAAGGGGACCTGAACACTGATTACTATCATAAAATCGCCAATGGGCGGAAAAGAAAAAACACAATTTATTCCTTGAAGGCTGGGGGATTGAAATTGAAGGTACGGATAAGCTAATTGCTCATGCTACATAATTTTACAAAAAACTATTTGGGCCTGAGCCGGGTAATTTGTTCCACCTAAGACCCGACACTTGGGCTGATGAGGAAAAACTTAGTGCTGACGATAATGCAGATTTATGTAGTGAGTTCACTGAGACAGAAGTTAGGGAAGCATTATTTTCTATGGCACACAATAGAGCCCCTGGTCCGGATAACATCCCTGTGGAATTCTATCAGGTGTGTTGGGACATAGTTAAAGAAGATATCATGAGGATTTTTGAGCATTTCCATAAAGGGACACTTGATGTCCAACGCCTCAACTATGGAGTGATAACCTGTAACACCCCAAATGTAATTTACCTAATATGTACTCCAACTCTTGCCATTTCCGACGCTAAGTTATTTTATTTCCTCGGGTTCGGGTTTTTGTCTCCGTGTGTTGTTGCCGTTGTCATCCATCTCATATCATGTCATCATGTGCATTGCATTTGCATACGTGTTCGTCTCATGCATCCAAGCATTTTCCC